ACCCTCTCTGACCCCTCCCCAACAGACAGCACCACAATGCAGGGACATGGATTGCCAAGCCCTGGCTAATAACTAAGGCTTGGCAACTTACAACATAATAGGTGCTCCAAGACAAAGAAATATGGCCCAAATGAAAGAACAGATGAAAACTCCAGAAAAAGAACCAAATGACAAGGAGAGAGCCAACCTATCAGATGCAGAGTTCAAAACACTGGTAATCAGGATGCTCACAGAAATGATTGAGTATAGACACAAAATAAAGGAAAAAGTGAAGGGTATACAAAGTGAAATAAAGAAAAGTATACAGGGAACCAACAGTGAAGGGAAGGAAACTGGGACTCAAATCAATGATCTGGAACAGAAGGAAGAAAGAAATATTTAACCAGAACAGAATGAAGAAACAAGAATTTTTTTTTTTAAACAGAGGCTTAGGAACCTCTGGTACAACTTTAAATGTTCCAACATCCTAATCATAGGAGTTCCAGAAGGAGAAGAGGAAGAGCAAGAAATTGAAAACTTATTTGAAAAAATAATGAAGGAAAACTTCCCCAATCTGTCAAAGGAAATAGACATGCAAGACCAGGAAGCTCAGAGAGTCCCAAAGAAATTGGATCCAAGAAGAAACACATCAAGACACATCATAATTAAGTTACCCAAGGTTAAAGATAAAGAGAGAGTCTTAAAAGCGGTAAGAGGAAAATAGAGAGTTACCTACAAAGGAGTTCCCATAAGACTATCAGCTGATTTCTCAAAAGAAACCTTACAGGAAAGAAGGGTCTGGAAAAAAGTATTCAAAAATCATGAAAGACAAGGACCTACACCCAAGATTACTCTATCCAGCAAAACTATCATTTAGAATGGAAGGGCAGGTAAAGTGCTTCCCAGATAAGGGAAAGTTAAGGAGTTCATTATCACTTTATTATATGAAGTATTGAAGGGACTTATCTAAGAAAAAGAAGATCAAAAACTATGTATAGTAAAATGGCAACAAACTCACAACTATCAACAACTGAACCTAAAGGAAAACTAAGCAAATGACTAGAACAGGAACAGAATCGCAGAAATGGAGATCACATAGAGGGTTGTCAGTGGGGAGGGGGAGCGAGAGAATGGGGGGAAACGGTACAGGAAGTAAGAAGCATAATTGGTAGGCACAAAATAAACAGGGGGAGGTTAAGAATAGTATAGGAAATGCCAAAGACCTTATATGTATAACCCATGTACATGAACTAAGGAGGGGGAATGCAGGAAGGGGAGGGGGTGCTGGGAGGAGGGGGATAAAAGAATTGGGACAACTGCAATAGCATAATCAATAAAAAAAATACACCAAAAAAAGCAGAAATTTTTTTTTTAATCCATTTACATAGTGCTTTTCTACTACTGTTCGGTAACTTGCTGTGCATAAAAAAAAAAAAAAAAAGCTTTCCATAGTATTCAGACCAGTGGCTGATCAATACACAGTAGCAAGTCAAAAACCTTAAGAAAATCTTTAATTCCTCCACAATGGAAATAAAAGTTTCCTAGAAGAATAACAACCACAACAATAACAACAACAATTATTATTATCTAATTCCTCTAATTTTCCAACAGAAGGAGCTAGTTCTAGACATTAGCCAATGTGTAGAGGAAAACATATATTAAGACTGCAGATTATAATGCTCTTCCCAAGGTAGCCAATCTACCTAGGATCTGAAATATTTGTAGAAACTCAATGTATTTATTAAAATAGTGAATGGATTAATGAATAAAAAATATTTTAGGGTGTGTTCCTGCATAAGAAAATTGCTTTTTTAATAAGGAACTTGGGCCAATCAGAATGCTCAGGTCTGAAGGAGCAAACTTTTTGACTGCAGCCCTGCATGGTGCCTCTGAATCACACTGTAGAGGCAGCACCTACTCATTAGGCTGCCTCTAGTAATCACTGTATAGATTAGCACAATCAATAGTTCAATTTTATAAATGGCTTCTTGCAGTGTTACAGGAATTTATAATCTATGAAATCAAAGAAGCTTTGTCAAGTATTTGTGCTTAATGACCGAACACACCAATTTCAAAGCTATTTCACATTCCCAATGGAGGTAAGATTTCTGTGTTTTCAAAGAGAAATATTGGCTTTTTCACAGTGAACAGTGTAAATTCTTTAAATGTCTAGGAATTATACAATTATATTTAAGAGAGTCAATTTATTTGAATTTAAATAAACTGATGTTCTCAAACAAAAGCATTTATGTTTTAACATATTTCTCTATCAAATATCCATTATAGACATTTAAAAAACCTGTTTTTTAAAAAAAGTCTTCACTGTGTTACATGTTTGTGGTGATGATTATTTCTGAGGGTTGATCATTCTGTGCACAAGCAAATCAATCATCCTATATCTCATTATCAATTCATTGCTTTTTATTTTCTGGATGCAGTGTCAGGGGAGTGTTAGGCCATACTCATTAGTATTTATCATTTAGTGCAATTTGCTTGCTTGTTTGAGCAAGTGCAATTAAATAGATGGGTGTGAAGTATCTTAGTGTGGCCCAAACAGCTCTTTTTTTTTTGTTTCTGAGAGTGTCCTCTAGACAAAGCCTTATAAAAATTTTGTTTGCAAAAGGTTTCAAGAGATAAAAAGAACCTGAGTTCTCATGACCATATGAGATAAAAGAAACTTTTCCTTGGAGACTTCTAAGTAAGATAGGCTTTCAGATGGGCAGGTCAAAGGAAATAAATTCAATAAGCTTGTGTGGTTGGCATAACAATAATGTAACTCGATGTTTCTTTTGTATGGCTGGACTGAAGAGCTCATGGATTAAATATTTTCTAAGAGACATAATTGTTATATTTAAGACATTTCCTCAAAGTAACAACTACTGAATACATGAAAAATACCAGTTTGTTTCTTTCCACTCATCTGTGGAAGTAGAAGAAATAACATGGATCATATTTTTAAATAAGGGGCCATAATTATTCATGGTTCCCTAATATGTACACTGTTAGAAAGGGAACAAGAGAAAACTGAATTTAAAAATGCCCAAATAAAATGTCTTATGGACGTAGTCCATTTGTAAATATATCTTGTTACAAAGGAAATAAAAATTATATTCACACACCAGGAAAATCTTAGTTTAGAATTTTGTATAGCTGACTTGACAGAGAAATGATGAACCCAAATATTTTTACATTAAAGACTGTCAGAAATCTATTCTATATGTGGTTTGGCACACAAGTTACTGCTATTTCTTTCACTCTGCCAAAATTTATTTAAACTTTTACTTGGATCCTGTGCTGGTAGTCTCATTTTTTTAGTTTCTTTCTTTTCTTCTCTATTATCGAATACTTTTTCTCATTCTTTCCTTATGACAAATGTAGAGATACAGTCTGTCTCCCATTCCCACTCAGCTATGAGAATATTGTCCATGTGAAGGAATTAAACATTTTGTGTCACTAACTTGCTTAGCAACCAAAAAATAAAAAGACTTTTGGGTCAAATTAGTGCTTTTGTGGGTGGGCCTGTTTTCACAATGGAAATGGTTGATTCAGTTGACTGGAATCCTGGAGATTGCCATCAACTTGCTATAAAAGGCTGGCTAACCAACCCATATTTGGAGAAGGGTGAATCTTTCAGGCCTCTCTTCCCCATACCAACCCTGACAGGGTGGGCTTGGGAGTCATATATATCCATCAATTACACCTAACCACAAGCAGACAGCCTTAACAGAAGCCTGGGCCACATGAAAATATCTAAACTGGTGTTTTCTCTGCTATACTGAAACTGAGGTTCTCCTGTTTGAATGAAAATCCTCTGTCTCTCTCACCTTCTCTATTCCCTCCTGTCTTTTCCCTTTCCTCCCTTTATTCTCCTATGTAGTCACTTATACATAGGCACAAAATCAGTAGAGTTAGCCACAGGGAATATTGAAATTGAATGATTGAGAATCTTATTGACCATTGAGTCAACACTACTGCAGAGTCTGGTGGGATTTTTTTTACCTTCCTTTTTTCAATTACCAAGTCAGAGTTTTCTACTAAACAGCTACAGCTTCCTTCTATTTTGCTTCTTTAGTGAGAATTTAGGCAATTTTTCAAGTCATCTTTAAGACCTCTGATTTTTCTGGTCATCTTTTCATCAAAATGTGGCCTTCTTACTGAATTGATATTTGCTTACAAAGAGATAGCCAACAGTGATTGCAGATTATAGTAGGAGAATCTTAGCTGAATCTCTTAAGAGTTTGCCTAGGCTCTGGGTATCCAGGTAGCTTTATATGTAGTAATGCCCTACCACCGTAATTGTATTAGATTGATGCAACCTCATTCTTTCTCTCCACCATACAATAGTTTGAGAACAATTTTATCTGCCCTTTGGAAAAGATTACAAGTACTCTCACTGGCCTGAGTTTTTGCTCCATGTTGTTAAGCACCTGGAAGAAGAATGAAAACTGCAGTCAATTATCTAGGTTTTACCAAATATCTGGGTGTGCAGTATTATGGATAGGGCCTTGCCTGTCTCTCTATAAAGTTTAGGGGAAGTTTGAGTTCAGTCTTCACGTCACTCTTGCTAAGAAACATTGTGGTTTGTATGTTCATATAATTACAATAAAGGTGTGAAACTGTTGGAATTATTTAAAAACCACCTCATATCTCTTCATGTTGCATGTTTTGAAACAGCTTTTGCCAATATCATTGCCAGCTGCTAGAATGTTTTACATATTTGGCTTTTTCCCCCTTCTGCATTGAATTCAAGCTCTTTGATGTAAAATTTGTTTCCATTTGAGAATAGCAATTTTCACTTTCTAAAAAAGGAATGTAATGTTTCATCAAAGTTGTAGGAGATGCTTTAAAGTATCTAGATGATAAAAAAGCAAGAACTTTTTGAAAGAAAGAAAAGATTTGCCATTACAGGTAACCCACATGGAAATGTTAGATGCCCAAGTAAATCTGGTGAATTCTGCTTGATGAGCAGTCAATGGAAATCTCTCCCTTGATGCCATGTCTTCCATGTAAGTTGTATATCTTTTCAGAAGCCCCTGCAAGGTATTATAACAAACCAAGTTGCAACTGTGCTTATCCATTGAATGCCATCTCCCACGAGACTTCAGTGATTCCATATTTCATGGGATGAATCTCTTGTCTGACTATGTGGCATTTATTAAACTGATAAGAACAGACACTACATATGATCTTAGCCAAAAGGCCGAGGAGCAATTACTACATGGCATTTATTAGTTGCTCTTGTTCCCCAAGACACAAACTGAGGGTCTCCACCATCCTTTCACTTGAAACACCTAACTAACTGCTCTGCAGGTTCAAGTTATTTTATTATTAAATATCACCCACTGTTTCCTAAATTTGTTTTTGTGTATCCTCTATACAATTGTATTGGCATTTTCCACCATTACCTGAGATGTTAATCATTAAGTACAGTGGTCCTCCCTTTATCCAAGGTTTTGCTTTCCACAGTTTCAGTTACCTGCAGTCCAAAAGTATTAAATGGAAAATTCTAGAAATAATTCATAAGTTATAATAATTGCATTTTATTTTGAGTAGCATGATAAAATCTCCGTTTTGCCTGGGATGTGAATCATCTGTTTGTCCAGTGTATCATGTTGTATACACTCTCCACTAATTAGTAGTCGTATCAGTTATCAGAAGAGAAACATTTATATAACTTTTGTTACAGCATATTGTTATAATTGTTCTATTTTATTATTAGTTATTGTTATTAATATCTTACTATGTTTAATTCATAAATTAAGCTTAATGATATATAATAATATATTACTATAAACCACAGGTATTAATATATTAATAATATATTATTATTCAATATATTATTTAATAGTAATATAATAATATTAAACCACAGATACATATGTATATGTATATATGTGATTTGCCTAGTGTTTTATTCAATTCCACTTTTTGGAATAACTGCAGTGTTATTAGCAAAACTGTTAATGCCCAGAGGTCCTGTTTCTATCCAAGGAGAATCCATCCACAGATATAGGTTTCAGACATCCACTGCAGATCTTGGAAAGGATCTCCAGTAAATGAAGGAGGAATACTGTATTAATCTGATAGCATTTTTTTGCATTATGGATTGATAGGCAAATATAGACTCAAGTCACAGGTCGGGATTGTTTATCATGGAGTTGCCTTCTATAATAAATATCATTTCTGTAAGGGTCATGATGAATTTGAACCTGGTTATAAACAGAGGACTTGGCCTGGAATTAAAATGTAGTGCATTGATGTTTCCTTTATTATATTAATTGCCTGCATGGCAAACCAAGGTTTGGAGATGTGGATAGATTCTCCTTGGATAGAAATTGGACCTCCGGGCATTAAGAGTTTTGCTAATTATACTCTGTAGTTATTCCAAAAAGTGGAATTGAATAAAAACATTGGACAAATCACTGTTTGTGGAGAGACTGGGTGGTAATGAGTTAATTAAAAATAATAAAAGAAAATAAAATCAAACAACAAGTTAGGCAATAAAGAAGAAAAGGACATGAACAAAAGGAAATATATGTGTTGGAGGAGATAAACCACTCATTTCATTCATTCAGCAAGTATTTATTGTCATTTTGTGCCAGTCATTGTCATTAGTCTTAAGGACATAGTTATGAATAGGACAGCTCAGGAAACTTCCATACTGCCTGGAGGGTGGATGTGTACACATAACTGTGAGAAAAGCCTGATAGTGTTTTTCTCAGAGTATAAGTCACACAGTTTGAGTCAGAATTGAAGGAGGGGCAGAAAGGGGCTGTGAGAGAACACATTTGGACTTAAATTCAGAACTATATTGAAACAAAAGCCAGATTTTCTAGGACTACAGGTAACAATGAAAGTCAGGAAATCTTAGAAATGAAAGGAAGGGAAGGGGAAAGTCAAGGAACATATAGCAAGGACTCGTGGACAAAACCAAAGGGGAAGAGCTGAGGGAGGGAAGGAGGAAGGGGGCAAGGGAAAGTGGTGGGGGGTAGGCAGAGACAAATGTATTTGAAAAAATAAATTTAAATAAAATTAAAAAAAAAATAAAATAAAATTAATTTTAAAATAAAAAAAGAAATGAAGACATAAGTAAACAGAAGGTGAACAAACAGTTTTGGCCTTTAGGAACAAATAAAACAAATTGTCTCAATGGTTTGCAGCTCCAAAAACAGCCTGCATGCTTAAGTGTGACATTGGGAAGGAATGGTTCTATCTTCCAGAGCTGTGCCAACTCAGTATTGTGAGATCATGGGCTTCTTAGTTATCTTTAACACACTCAGAATGTACTGTCAAGTCCAGAAAGCGAATTACATAATCAATGAGTTAAAGTAATCTGACTACTTTATATTTTCATCTCACACTTTGTACTTTGAGAATTCAACATGCTGTAACAGAGATTATTTGATCCCTGAGAACAAAAAGTGAACAAAATGTTAGGTGAAGGTTGCCACCAGCCAAGAGAATGTTTGGGAAATCCATGAACCATAAGCATAATGACAACCCTTGCTCCTGCACTAATACCTACTGTGCACCAGGCACTATTTTAAGGGCATTATCATTTTACAATGAATGAGAAAGTTTCTAGCCCCATTTTTTAAAAAGATCTTTTTTTAAAAAAGATTTTATTTTTAGAGAGGGGCAGGGGAAGAAGAGAGGGAGAGAAACATCAGTATGTGGTTGCCTCTCACACACCACTACTGGGGACCTGGCTCACAACACAGGCACGTGCCCTGACTGGGAATCGAACTGGTGACCCTTTGGTTCACAGGCCAGTACTCAATCACCTGAGCCACACCAGCCAGGTTTCTAGCCCTATTTTAGAGAGGCAGAAATTGAGGCAAAGAGAAGCTAGGATCATACAGCTAATAAGTTGCAGATTTTGGATTTAAACCCCAGAATTATGGCTCCAGTATCAGACTTCTACTATGTCAAATTCCTTGCTTTTATTCTCATGCAGCCAAAGCAAAAACAAACCAAGAAGTGCTGCCATACCATTTTGTAATGGTTTCATCTTAGTTCCTTCTCTAAGGATGGATATCCAGACATCTGAAAGTTAACAGAGAGTAGAGAATTAAAGACATCCATTAAAGTGGGATAGTTCCTTGAAAAAAATGTTTTGTACTCAAATTTACAATTAAGTGACTTTTCCCCCTCCTAGCTATCTCTGAATGTGTTGACATGTTCTTATGTGATATTTGCCCTTGAGGGTTTAAACCATTCATGATCAGGTCAATCAAAAGCTAGTTCTGATACCTGCAAAGCAGTCCATTTTGGTATAATGAACAAATTAGACCAATTTTTGGTTTAATAAACAACTCAAATTGAACAATCTGGGCTTATAGTAACAACTTCTCGTGAGGGTGATAAATGTTACTTTAGATACACTCTAATGAAGTATTAAAATATTAAATTTGAAAAAATATTGCAGATTATTGAATCTTCACTGGAAAAGAGCTTTGTGCAGGGGTTTCATACAGTGTTCTCTGACCTTCTAGAGTTGCAGCCACATAGCAGATTGAATAGGATTAAAATAATTAGCTTTCTCTTGTCAGCAAACTTCCTCATACTGCTTCTTACCCATTCTAGTTCTATTGTTGCCATGTCTAAATTCAACAAGTCATTCCCTTTATTAAAAGGAAATGATGTTTTAACTTTTTCTAGAATGCTTTTATTCATATCTGAATGTGATTAAGTTGAACATTCCTCACTTTCACAAAAGTTAATGAAAAACAATTTCATGACCAATTTAGCAATAAATGTGTTAATCAAAGAAGTCAAGAGTGGTCTTTTGTTTGGTTAGAACAGTAGTGTTCAATATTTAGTATGGTCATAGATGAATGAGGAGTAGGAAAATACTGTCATCCAGGTAGTCATAATTTTTGCATTTGCAGGAGAAAGACACAGTATTTCCAAAGTATGGTCCTAGAAAACTTGTTCCAGAGTTATCTGGGTTCCTGTTAAAGGTGCAGATTCCTTGGCCTCACCTAGAACTGGTAAATAAAAATTTCATAATGTATATGGGGGAGTAAAGTTTGAGAACCACTGCCTTACAAGCATATACTTTTATGTATTCCACATATGCATATAGCTTGCCAGGTTAGTTCTACAACAGAAATATGGATGTTTCTACCTAGAAGAGCCCTTAAAAGTCACCTATGTAAACCCCATCTGAACTTACCATTTTACTACAGGGTTTGCTAGATTTAGCAAATAAAAATGCAAGACTCCAAGTTAAATTTGAATTTCAAATAAACAATAATTTAAAAAAATTAGTGTAGATATGTCCTCTGCAATATTTGACACATGCTTATACTAAATATTTCTTGTTTATTGAATTCAAATTAAATTTGGAGCTCTATATTTTATCTGGCAAGTTATGATAAGCAAATTGACATCCAGAAAGGTGGAATTCTACAATGGTGTGCTTTCTCTAGGATTTCTAGAACTTCTTACTCTCTACCATTCCTATAAATCATTGATTTCTGCTCTACTGAAGATTTCCTTTGTTGACAAGTAAATACCATTGTAAAAATTCATAAATATAGCATCAACTAACTTTCAAATGTGTAAAGACCAAGAATATTTGTTTTATAACAGAGAAATAACTGTACAATAAAGTGTCTTCTTTTTATAAAACATTCAATGCTAGTTTGTCACAAGGAGAAAAATGATAGCAACATAATTCTAAACAATTAAGTTGATTTTGTATAGACTCCCTCTTCTTCCTTTGAACTTCCTAAAAGTTCTTTTATCTACCTACCTACTTATCTACATACCTACCTACCTAGTTCACAAAAAGCCATGGCTGACCAATGGAGCATGGGTGGATTTGTAAGATGTCAATTATGCTAAATGCCAGAATTAGGAGTTTCCAGGAACTAAGGCAGGTCAATCTGGAAACAGGATCCTAGAATTTAGGTGGCTGGGCATGGAAAGAAAAGCTTGCCCTTATGCTTTTAAAAAATGTGTTTGGGGACAGGGCCAAGAAGTAGCTGCCAGAAGGAGGTCATCAACCACCTACCCTTCTATCTTAAGGAAGGGCCCAGACAATTTTTAACCAATATTTTCTCCCAAGATTGAACGCTTCAAGGTAATTGGCTGAATTTATTCATAGAATGCCTCTTTGGGTGCCAAAAGTGAAGCAATCCAGTAACAAAAACAGTTTGATTTAATTGAATTGATTCTTAGAGCATTCAATCCAGTTTCATGCAC